GTATGACGCAATACCAGCTTCAGATTACATCATTCATTGTTTTGCCTAAAAAGCAAGTACTGTCCAAACCCAGGCATAGATTTATTCATATATCCAGTCAAAGATGTATTTTAGTCATTTCTGGTTTAAATTGAGATCCCTTCCCTTTATAACTCACTTATCCTCCGCCATTCCCAAGTCAAGAGTCCTATATACTGACCCAATAGCATATCTTGAAAACTAGAGCCAATCAACAATTTTAAGCATCATTTTCGTTCTCAGTGACCCAGAATTAGTAAAGTTTGACTACACTTATTTCAGAAGCATTTTGACTGTAGAGCAGTGTTATCTATGTGCTGGATATGCTTAATTTAGCCTTTAATGTGCCACAATTTATTGAAGTAAACATTTTTTCCTCTGTGCTACTCATTATTTAATATTAGCAAAAAAACCTTCAAATTGTTATTCCCCAGGACATATGTATATTACATGCAGATATGGAAACCTCAAGTGATGCAAACTTTGAGAAACAGAGGAATGCTGGTCATAAACTGATTTTTTTTTAAGATTTGTTCATTTTAAAGTTAACACAGTGATGACAATTAAATAAAGTTTAACATGAGAGATTTAGGTAATCATTTTAAACTAGTTTTTACACTAATTTTGATGAAGACATGTTTTAAACCAAAACAAAATCTTTCCCTGTTATTTGTCATATTTTTCTAAATCTGAAAGGCAGTTTTAATCTAAGTACTTACTTATTAAGCTTTAAACAAAAATTAATGATTTTTACTATGGTAGCACTCAGAGGGTCCATACAGGATTGTGATCCTGTTGTGCTAGGTGCTGTACAAACACATATGATCAAGCCCCAAAGAACTTATTACGTGCTTGTCCTTTCAAATGTATAAATAATATAAAGAACCTTTCAAATTCTAAATTTTGGTGCAGGCTAATATATTAGCTTTTCACTTTTGGTGACCTGGATTCAAATCCTGGCCAAGGTCATAAGTGAAAATGAGTTTAGTAGTCTCATCATAATCTTTATGTTGTTAATGTCACAAAACCATTACATAGTTCGTCATGATCAGTAGATCTGGCCAAAACTCAGGATTTGCAGTTTGGGAGAAACAAGGAGCAATGAAATGGACAAGAATGTCAATTTTAGTCAGCAGCTGCCTGGGCTACCAGGGTATGCGTATCCAGGGTAGCCATATCATGCAGACTGCCCCAGGGCCAGGTCTTCCAGAATCCCAGCTCCACAGCAGAAAGCCCATAAATCCTGAAAGCCCCAGCTTGAGCCAGGGTTGTCATGGCTTCCAGGCTCCGTGCTGTGGGGTTCTCTCTGGTGGTGTGGGGTTCCATCCAAGAACCTGCAGGTTCCCAACGCTGTGCCCTGGAGCCTGGATATCCTGAGAGCTCTGTCTCAAGACTGAGTTCTCATGACTTCCAGCTCTGTGATGCACAGCCAGGATCCTAGACCATGGACGCCTGGGCATGGTGGGGCATGGGACTCCATTTTCTGACCAGCTCTTATGATTAGCAGTTTTTGTTCTACATAAGATCAATATTGGAAGAGTGGACAAGTTTAGGTTTAAAGTGAATTAGCTACTCTCTTGGGTAGAATGAACTCTACTCTCATACCCTCTTTCTAATACTAAACTTGTTACTACACTTTAGGCTGTACTGCTCTTCAAACTGCTGTTACCCATACATTTCCAGTCTTCTGCTGAGGATTTTCTGGCATGATCTGTGTTCATGATTTTCAGTGGCCCTGTCAAAGCTTCACAGTGTCATTTTGGAGTGCCAATAATTATTGTGGAATTTTGAAAATGTTTATATTTCAAGGATACATTTGACATTTACCCAAACATTTTTAATAATTAGTTTAACCACCAATTCCAGAATTATGCATTATATGAAAGGAATGAAACCAGTGTATAACAAAGGGTGGCTGTTTCAGAAATTAATGATGATTTAGAATTTATTTCTTTAGTGGATCAGTATATAATATAACTAATACTATGGGAAATGTGCAATTAGATGAATACTGATGTGGAGAGATATTTCTTTTACTAAAAAACTAATGGAGATATCTGATCTCCTAGAACTGGAAGGGACCTTGAAAGGTCATTGAGTCCAGCCCCCTGCCTTCACTAGCAGGACCAAGTACTAATTTTGCCCCAGATCCCTAAGTGGCCCCCTCAAGGCTTGAACTCACAACCCTGGGTTTAGCAGGCCAATGCTCAAACCACTGAGCTATCCCTCCCCCCATATTAATATGAATTGTAAATATATCTGATTTTATAAGTAAACAATAGATATTTAGGTAAATAATAAACAAGTATTTCTGCTTTGAGATGTAAAATTTGAATACACATATTGTATTGTCCTCTTAGAAACCATAAAACTAGCTTATTTGTTCATAAATCTAACTTCTCTGAACTTACATGGCATTTTGTAGAACAGTCGCTCTCCTGCACCATCATTGCTTTGCAAGAATTTACTATCCACAGACCAGTCAATATGAGTAATAAAACTAGAAGACTTGTTGCATTCTCCTATCTTCTTGTATCGTTGAGCAACTGCATAGATATCCACGAGGCCATCATTAGAACCCACAGCAAGATAAGAGCCATCTGGTGAAAATTTCATTTCATGAATCACTTCCTTTCGGTCTTTAATATGAACTACCTCTGTCATATCTCTGAAAGAACCAAGAGCAAGAATATAGATTATGGACTTGTAAGTATGAAACACAAAAATATTTAAATTAAGACAGACATACTAAACACTTTCTAAAAGCAAAATCGGACTTCAGAAGTCAGAATCCTCCATTCTGAAAAGTCTCTGTTGCTCTTACTGTCTATACTCACAAGTTTTAAAGCAAAACAAACAGGTTTATGTCTAGCAAAGTGACTTTACCATTTTGACTTGACATTTATAAACATTTATGATTCTCTTTGTTATACTCCTCATGGCCAATTAACTGCTTTCATCTTGTTTTTTTCTAGTTTAGAAAGAGAAATGACTATACCTCTTTGTAAATGTTTTTCATTAGAAAGAAAATTATGAAGTCAAAATATGAACTGTTACTCTAAGTTATGTAAAGTATATTTGGGGATGTAATGTAACTCAGTAGCCCACTGTTTGCTATTATAGTAGTATAAGTTAGGTTTTTTCTGTACAAGAGACTACTTAGTATCAAAGCCAGTCAGCATTATACTGGTTATATTATAGACTGGGGCTCTAAGGAAGATTTTTGGAGATGAAGCTGCTTGTGTTACCTCATGGAAGTTTTAACATTTTTAAAATAATGTAGTTTTTAGTTTGCTTCATTACTGCTACGTGGCCTCAAAGTTTATAAATTTGAATAAACTTTAATGAGACTTTTCTTGTTGCAGATCTATCACAGAATTCAGAGAGGAGAATAAACAACATTAAGAGTAGGAATAGACTGGGATTTGGTGGTATTAGTGGTGAAGCTGGTCAAGGAATGATTTTTTTTCCTCCACAAGAAAACAATTTCTTTTCATTGAAATGTTTCATCAAAATGTTTTGGGTATTACTTGAAAACCCAAAATCTGAAAAAATGTCGGGTTTTGGTTTTTCAAAACTCCAAAATTGTCAAAGAAAACACATTATTTGTTTGAATATTTCCATTTTGTCATAAAGAAATTGGTTATGAACCTGTCCTGTATTGTGAGATGTGTTGCACATTTTCATTCCACTTCAGGTGTGTGCATACCCAGTGCACAGTTGTTGGGGGGTTTTCTCTCAGCAATAACCATCAGAGCAGTATGTCCATTTTCTGCTGCCTCATGCCACCATTCGAAGCTACAAAGGCGGAGCTTCCCCCAACCCTCCTCAGGTCCTTCCTTCTAGAAGATTCAGACAGAGAGAAGAAGGAGGATGGGTCATGGAATGGACAAGTGCAACACATCTCAAAGGACATCAGTTACAGGACATGTTAGGAACTGCTTTCTTCTCCAAGTGATTGCACATGTCCATTCCACTTTAGGTGACTCACAAGTAGTTTGATCAGGAGGTAGAATCAGAATCTATCTGAATAATGATTGAAGGACCACATGTCCAAACCTGGCATCATTTCTAGACTGCTGAGAGATGGCATAAAGTGAAGCAAAGGTATGAACTGATGACCAAGTTGCTGCTTTGCAAATGTCCAGACTAGGCAGCTGGCCCAGAAAAGCTGCATGAGATCTGGTTGAACGTGCTAGCATTCTATTCAGTGGCAGAACATCAGCCAAGTCACAGCACAAATGAATACAAGAAGAAGGCCCTTCATTCTGTCTGTAATTGCCAGGCATAATGTGAGAAAATGGCCTAAATGGTTTAGTCCTGTCCAGGTAAAATGCTAACACTCCTCTAATGTCTAATGTGTGGAGCGTCTCCTCATCCCTATGATTATGAGGCTTAGGGGGGAAAAGTTGGTAAATATATTGCCTGATTAATGTGGAAGTGAGGTCCACCTTGGTGAGAAATTTCAAATGAGGGTTTGTTTTTGTAGAAGATTGTTTATGGAGGTCCAGAAACTAGTACTTGTAATTCACTCTCTCTCCTGGCTGAGGTGATTGCATCAAAAAAGTCTATCTTTATAGAGAGATGGAGCAATGAACAGCTAGCCAATGATTCAAAAGGAGGACCCATTAGCTTTTCTAATGCCAGGTTTAAGTCTTAAGGGGGAATAGGATCCTGTACTTGAGCATATAAACCCTGCACGAAGCTAACTGTCAAAGGATTGGAGAAAAATGAACAATTATCAATAAGTGACAGGTGCCACAAGGACTCCTCGTTGTTTTAGCTGCTAGATAGACCTTGATGGAACTAATGGCAAGACCTTGTTGTTTCAAGTGTAACAAATAGTCCAACACACGATGGAGCAGAGCCCAGACAGAGTGAATGCCTTTTTGCTGGGAGCAAATGGAGGATCTCTTACACTTTGCCAGGTAAATAAACCCAGGAGAAGGCTTTTTACTATTTACAAGTACATCTTGAATCCCCTTTGAACAAACCTCCTCCTGTTAGCCATGGAGCAGCTAGACTATCAGATGGAGGGCCTGCAGGTTAGTGTGGAGGAGGTGACCATGGTCCTGAGAGATCAGGTCTGAGTCCAGTTGGTAGTGGCAATAAGGCTCCATATAAAAGGGTCAGCTTAGTAGAAAACCAATGTTGCTGAGATCATACTGGATCTATGAGTATGACTCGAGCATTTCAACAACATTCTGGATAGAAGTGAAACTGGGGGAAATGCATATGGGAGCCTGTCTGTCCAAGGCAACAGGAAAGCATCCATCAGAGACTGTGGGCTGTGACCTGCTCAAGAACAAAACTGACGACACTTCCTGTTGACTTTTGATAAAACAGGTCTATATGGGGAGTCTCCCACAGTTGGAAAATGTATCTGGCTGTGTCTGGTAGGAGAGACCATGGTTACTGGTAAAAGATCTGCTTAATCCATCTGCAAGATTGTTTTGAACACCTGGAAGGGTGAGAGGCTTTGAGATGGATTGAGTTAGCAATACGAAAGTACCACAGCCACATTGCATCCTGGCAAGTTGACCATGCCCCTCTTTGCCTGTTCTCATAGAACACGGCAGCTGTATTGTCTGCAAGTATGAGAAGATTTCTTCCCTTGTTATGGGGAAGGAAGGCTTGATATGCTAGCCAGATGGTCCTTAGTTCACTGACATTTTATATGTAGGGTTAAATCCTGAGCAGATCATAAACTTTGAGTTTCAGGGACCATAGGTGAGCCCCTCAACCTAGGGCAGACGTGTCCATAGCTATGGTCAAAGATGGTTAAGGAAGAGCAAACAGAACCCTTCTATACACACACACCTTGAAGGGTCTCTCCACCAGTCTAGAGAGGCCAAGATTTGAGTGAGCTCCTGAACCACCATGTCTAGGGGAAGACAAATTGTAAATTACACCGATGCCAGCCACCTTTGCAGCTTCCAGAGACAGAGCCTGGCAAATTAAACTACATAAGTGTATGAGGCCAATTGCCCCAGACGTTTGAGGCAAGTGCATACTATCATTGGCCTTCAGGTCTAACACAATGGCCAGCATAGTCTGGAATCTTATCTGTGAAAGGAAGGCCTTGGGTTCCATAAAGTCCAAGACTGCTCCTATAAATTCTACATTTTCTACAGGAGACAGGATTGACTTTTGTATGTTGATGAGCAACCCTAGCACATTGAAGGTGTACTGGATGACAGACACACTGAACAGTACTGAGCCAGTTGTCCAGGTAGAGAAGAACTTGAACTCCTGACTTCTTCAGGAATACTGCCACCACTGTAATGTAGTACTTTGTGAACACCCATGGAGCTGTGGACAGGCCAACCAATAATATTGTGAACTGGTAGTGGGATTGATTTACCAAAAACCTGAGGAATTTTCTGTGGCTTTGATGTATTGCCATGTGAAAATACAAGTTTTTTAGGACAAGGGAAGCATACCAATCTCCAGGGTCAAGGGAGGAGATAATGGAAGCCAGTGTGACCATATGAAAGTTTATTTTCTTCAGATGTTTGTTGAGCTGCCACAGGACTAGTATGGGTCTGAGTCTTCCCTTTGCTTTTGGGATCAGAAAATAGTGGGAATAAAACTCCTTCCCTCTGCATAACTGAGGAACTTCCTCTATGACTCCCAGCTGGAGGAGAGATTACACCTCCTGAAGGAGGATCGCCTGGTGAGAGTGGTCCTGAAAAGGGATGGAGAAGGAGGGTAGAAGTGGGGATAAAAAGAAATTGAAGACTGTATCCTAATTCTTCCATGCTTAAGACTCACTGGTCTGTAGTGATGCAGGACCAAGCACCCACATAGTTGGAGACCTGGTTGGCAAACAGTGTTCTAAGAGAGGCTGGCATTCTGGAAACTGGGAGGGTGTTCTCGACAAACACATGCAAATATTTACTTAGAATTCCCAGGCTGTGTGGGTTAATGAGGAGCTGAGACAAAAGGAGTGGGTGGTCTTCTGCACTTTTTTTCTGGCTAAGTCTTGGTGACAAGGCATGAAAGCAGGATAATGGTGAGGCTGCTGAGGACAGAACAGCTTCCTCTTTGGTGTAGGTGTATAAATGCCCAAAGATTTGAGCATCAGCCTAGAGGCTATGCAGCTTGTCATCTGTCTGCTCAGAGGAGAGTTGCAACCCCTCAAAGGACAAGTCCTATATGGTCTGTTGGACCTCTTGAGGAAGACCCAATGACTGGAGCCACCAGTATCTGCACATCATAATGGCCAATGCCATGGCTCTATCTGCAGTCAACAGTGTCCAAACCCACCTAAAATGAGATTTTGGCTACTAATTCACACTCGTCTGTGAAATTCCTTGCATCCTCTGGCAATTTGTCTTTACATTATAATATATTGTCCCAGAAGCTACAGTCATAGTGGTCCAGCAAAGCTTGCTGTTTACCAGTCCTGAGCTGCAGATCTGGTGTCAAATAAAGTTTTCTGCCAAAGAATCATAGAAGATTAGAGTTGGAAGAGACCTCAGGAGGTCATCTAGTCCAACCCCCTGCTCAAAGCAGGACCAACACCAACTAAATCATCCCAGCCAGGCTTTTGTCAAGTAGGGCCTTAAAAATCTCTAAGGATGGAGATTCCACCATCTCCCTAGGTAACCCATTCCAGTGCTTCACCACCCTCCTAGTGAAATAGTGTTTTCTAATATCCAACCT